TCCAGAAGCCGTGAGATGTGTTTATCAGTGAAGATTTGCAGGTGAAACCACAATCCAGACCAACCGGATTGTAAAACTACTCCTGCGAAAAAATACAGTTTTAATCTGCACCACGTTATGGCAGAAATCTTGCTGACTTATGTGCACAATAAACTTACAAACATCATTCCTCATGAACACAAGGGTTCAGTAAATGGGTTCCTATATATTCCATGGTAACATCCTGTCTCCTTTTCACCCCTTATTTGGGAAGCATCAGGATTCTGCTATTTGGGAATTACATTTGTTTTTCCAATAGGAGGGAAAAAAAGTGAATAATGTCTTTTACGCCACCAGAATGTCATCGTCACGGAAGGTGCCCGGTCATTTTGCTGATTCAGTATGGAAACCTAGAAAAGGACAGTCTGCAAATTAATGTCTCTTAGAGTCTCCTGCTGAAGGCAGGGGGGGGGGCATTTATTGATCATGTACAGTTCACTCTGAGGGAATTGCTTAGCCTCACACCGCCCACTCAGACTTTAAGCGTCTACCCAAGACTGATCACGCATGTGCTTGCATTTGCGTGTGCGAGGGAATTTATTCCTGAAGGCAGCCAGGAAGAGGGGTGCTGCTAGAGATTTTGGGGCCCATGAAAGCATATCATATTGGGCCCCCAAACCAATCTAATTATGTTTTAAAATTTTTAGGGCTCCCTGTCACTCAGGGGCCCTTGGAATCGTCCTAACTTTCCCCCTCCCCCTTACGGCAAAATCAGTCTTTGAGAAACATTGTCTCATGATAACTAGGAGAAATACAGACAAACTGGGGTATTATTAATCTTATTATTAATCTTATTATTAATCTTCAAAATAATCCTTGGTAGGAATTTTTTTTCTCTGTATTTCAATTGCTTTTTTTCATTGCAAAGGGAAAACTTTCGCCAGCCTTTGGAAGATTGAACTGAATAAAGAATAACTAGCCGTGTGCTTCCCTTTGGCCCAAAGCACCTGCTGAATAAAGAATATGTACATTTTTTAAACGCGGGGCGTAGTACACATTACTGTATTATACTGTATTATAGTACACATCACTGAGACGCAGTTTAAACCCTGGAGATTAAAAACACAACTTAAATCAACAGCCATTTTGTACATTAACATAACCCTTAAAGCCAATCCAACACAATGAGCTCCACAGACGCCGGTCTGCAGTTGTTCAACTGCAGTGAGTCAGTTGCTACCAAATGGAATTTTTCACATTTCTTCCAAATTCAGTTTCACTTGTTTCCAATCGATCTGAGGCTAACACATCTTAATTTATGCCTTCATTTACATAAGGCCGAACGATCAAAGTCATATAAATAAATGTTTCAAACAAATTTGATTCCGCATTTATTAACTGTAAAATTTTCATTTAGGTTTGAGAGAACAAACAAAAACAAGTTAAAAGCTGAATTTGTAACTTGCGGACATCTATTAATAATGGTTTTAAAGTTTAGTCTTACTAAACAGCCCAAATTATTTAATTACATGTCAAATTTAAACGTAGAATCTTAGCCAATAGGTAGATCCTGGCCATTTTAAGCAAGCTTGATCTTAACAGCAAAAACACGGTCTCAGGAAACAACATTATATGACTGTCTCATGCTTGTGTCTGCAATGTTTTTTTCCTTTTTATAGACCGGACGTGACAGGTGAGCTCACTGTCTCACTTGTGCACTACAAACTGAATCCTGGTGTTACCTCTGGATGAATCCAGATCCAGCATCCAGCCCAGAACTTCCACTGTGCCCACTGTGCTTCTTTATTTCGACCACGACTGCGGATCCTATCATTACAATCATTTCATTCGCTCTCCCTCCTTCCTCCTCATCATTATACCTGGCAAATTTAGCTGCATCATTATGCATTTTCAGTGAGTCAGTGGAAAAAAAAACATTCCCAAAATGAAACTCACTGGGATTATTATTATTATTATTTTAATCCACAGAGTGAGAAGTTTGGATGGAGTAGGTGGATTTAAGCAGATGGTTTCTCAGATGGTATTCAGGCATTGTTCTTCACTACATTGTGGAGGAAAAACTGAACTGGCTTGTATTCCAACAGTAAAGCAATGAATCTGTTTGACCTAACAGGGCATTCACTAAAAAGTCATTTGGAAAAAGAAATGGAAAACTCACTTTAGCTTACAAGTTCTATTGTATTATTTAGACAGCCGTCTGTTTAAAAGAAAGAGTTTTTAGATTTTTTTCCGGAAGGTTAGCGGGTTGAATCCCCAGGGGAGCTCCTGTATCCGGGTACAATAATGTGGACACTTACGCCAGATGCCAGACAATCTCTGAAAACTGTTTCAACAACTGATTCCTGGTTTTGTCCAAAAAGTCAAACCAAGAGCTCAATTTCCATAATTCAGAAAACTGGATGTGATGTGGAGAGTTTCGTGTAGCTGCAAATTTCCCACCTAACACATCTGTCTTCATCCCTTAGCCGGGGTACCAGTTGGTAACAGAGGGCAGGGAAAAAGTCACAGGCGATGTCCGGCTATGATTGATGGTGCAATTGGCTACACATTAGTCAAGACTGTTTTGCACGTTGGGGAAAAGCAACCCAGAAACACTCTTTACCTTGAAAAATGACTGCAAATTCTCCACATGCCAAAATACACTGGTACTATTTTAATAGAAAGCCAAGCTTCAAAAAGAATAACACTAAATTAAAACTGCACAGTAATGATTTGCTGTACAGTAATATGTACCAAACTGATGCTTGGCCAATTTAAACCTGATAAATATGACACGTAAGTACAAAGTACCAGCATTCAGCAGTTGTGCTACAAATCATTAAAATGTAGTATAAACACAAGCTGCTGTCATTCGATACAGTCCAGGTGCAAAGAAGACTGTTTATGGTGCAGCGGAACGACCAAGTTGGAACACATCCGCCCGCAACTTGCCGAATTATGAGCTGAACACCAAGGCAAGGGGAGATTTGCATTGTTGGGTATTTCCAACCTTGTAGACACCTGCCCATTGCATAGGATAACCTGCTGGCACAGTAGGCTCCGAGTCGGGACCTGAACTCTGTGAGAAACTGGCCAAGAGCCAGTCCATGCAGAAGCCCCTAACATCTTGTGGGCGAGAGCCCCAGTCGTTCTCTTCCCCACACTTCTTCCATAATGCTTTTCTGATATCAATATCCAAGCATTAATGTCTTGTAAAAATCTGGCAGTTTAGTAGACACCCCCCGCAATCATTACACTGTCAGTGAAAAGTATAGAGGTGGTGAGTGGGTAATGGAGGCACACTCCTTACAGGTGACACAGGATTGGTCAGGTCTGCCAGTTTTTGATTGGATGCTGACTAGCAAGTGGGCGGTCTGAAGAGACATCCATCAAACCTTGGTTTAAAAACTTTGTTTGGAAAGACACCTCCTCCAAGGACACACTCACACTCAGGACACCACACGCCAAATCCTGCGTACTGCAGAATCCCGACATGGTATAAAGCACCGCTCCAGGGCAGAGCAGCGGCACCCCCATTGGGTCATCTAAAACATGCCCCCCCCACCACACATCCTGGGATGTCCCTGATTGCTCACGCAGCAGCTCAGCAAACAGAACTCAGGGACAGGCTACAGATTTGTACCAGTCCTCTTAGCCCAACAACCCCTTAACAGCATATATGCCAAGCCCATATTAGCCCTGGCTCACCTTTGTGCAACGGTGAGCAAATTTAGATATAGAGTGACAGTTTCTGAGAAACACTGATCACCATTACAATATCCACATCACTTTTTGCACACTGCCCATAAAGTCAAGCAGCAAATGAAGATAGTGAACCATTACACATCCGGATTGAGACTGAACATGAAAATATATAGCAATTATAAAACTATAAAGCACTTAAATAAACAGTATGATCTTTTTTTTGTTTGCACTACAGTCGTGGGAACTTCTAGGTCAATTATGTCTGGGACATCTCTATCAGGGAAACAGTGTGCAGTGTGTGGTGAATAACAGGCAGTTTTCCATTACAACCTGTAAAATGACCATTTCCAGCCCAAGGATTTGAGGTTCCGTTTTTATTTAAAAAACTTTGTCATCAATCAGTTAAGACGAATATCAGTTAAAACGTATATAAACCAGTGTTCCCCTCAACGATTGCCTAAAGGTTAATTTATAAGCCTTACGTTGAAAGAAATTTTAGTTAGACAAGGCGATAAACTAGTGAAATAAACACAATATCAATTTACCTCATGAGGTATTACCGCAGTAGCGATTTCACGATCCTCCAATACCTTCATCTTGTTAAAGAACACACATTTATTATCTCCAAACGAAATAGTTTCGTTACCAATTAAATAACAGTTAAAATTAAAAAGCCTGATATACGACAAGGTTCCTGAGTCTATAACACTGCCTTCCGCAATCCTCACGCTCCATAAATAGACATCATCTATATATTAAACATACGTCTAAACATTTAGATCATACCTATCATACGTAGCATACCTAAAATCCAGCTTACAGCGAATTCACACAAATATGTAAACAAGTAAACCGCTCAGTCTGCAAATTTTGTTGATATGTCTTTCCCTCCGTAATATTCCTACTTTCCGGAGCAGGAAAACATGAATCCTTTCGGGTGTCAGACAAAAGATGGAGAGATGATCGCCTTTACAGTTATAAAGAGTAGGAAGAGCAGGATCCTCCAGGATGTACCGGAGTTGCACGCTATCTGTCACTGTGCCGCACTTAGATACCGCAGAGCGCCGTACGGTAATACCCACCAAACTGATGATTGGCCAACTTGAACTTGATCAATTTGACAGTCACTTAAAAAACACAACAGCGGCCGAAGAAAGATACATCGGGATGCCCATTAATGAGAAAATGCACAAAATATACACCGTGCAGCATTTGTTTTACAAATCATTACAATGACGCGTCAGGTGTAAACTCTTAATAATAGTGTTGAAGGTGATGATGATGATCACCTTCGCGACATTCATAGCGTGACCTACCTCACTCATTTTTGCGGAGCAGTAACGCGAGGTGTCGACTTTTCCCAGCGCTTGTTATTGCCAATCAGGAATTAACAGTCGTCTTTTTCACAGTGCTTGGCCACAAATGGGGGGAGCTTTATAAAGTATTAAGACCACACTCCTCAATGTCATCACGTTTCCACTAAACCAATAGGAATGCTGTCGGCGCATTTGTCTCACAAGTCACCACCCAGCGCTCTGAAATATTCATAAAGCATGTGAACCTGTTACCATTCAGATCGGAGAGGCTGCACTCTTCCCTTCTGCACAGGGTTCCGGGTCTAAAAAAATCGTGGATACTTTTAGAAGACGGTGAAGCATAAAACAGATTAGGGGGGAAATGCCTAATTATTTATTACCAGTGCTACAAAACCCACAGCATATAAAGTCATCAATAAAAATCATTGTTAAACTCGAAAACGTAAAAATCTCTTCTCGTAATCCATCTGAAAGCATGATAAATGTTACATTTTTATTTAGATTAAACCTCTATCGAGGCTGGAATAACGTGAATAACGATCCCGTACTATTCAAGCGTAATTCATGCACGGTACTAAGACAGCCGTTTTATCATAAAAGCATGACACATTTCTGCATGTGCGTGGGTGTGTGTTTCTGCGCCTACATCGGCGGAGTCTTTTCATGTGATGCTTGATGTAATTTCACCGTCTTTGTGCTAATTATTTAAAGAGCTGAATGCATTTTCTGCGCCGCGTGTAGAATAATTACTTCCAGCCTGTGGAAAAAGCTAATTCTTCTGTTGGCGGTTCACTGTTATTTGTCATTTGCAGACTTCTCCAAAATGGGATAGGAGGTACTTTAAAATATTTATGAGCTTTCCGAGATCGTCTCCAAAACAAGGGGGTGTCTTATATTGCATAAAAAAAGACATCACGTAACATGTTTGAAACAACATATAGTGCATCTGACAATAAATAAAATCAGTAAATATAAATCACTTGGTCTTGTACCTTGGAATTACGTTTATTAACAAGTGAGAATCAGATTGACAGTACCTGTAAATCACACTGGACAGCGACTGTGCTCCATATATGTCATTGCAGTAATACTTTGCTTTTGTTAACATTAACCAAGTGTCTAAGAAGAGGATCTTGAAAGTGATGTGTTGGTTGAAATATGAATCCTGTCAATCTTCAAACCACTTATCCAGAACATGGACTGGGTGAGTTCGTGACAGGAGACACACCATCGAGCTCTGAGAATACACTATTAAGCAGTGTGTTGCCCATTAAAGCAGTCAGGTTAGGGGAACATCTTTCACTTGGTAACAGTCAAATCAACCAATGTCAGGAACCAATATTGAGGGGGCTTCCCTCTGGATTCATGACACCTGTTAAATCCATTGTGAGTAACGGGCTGATTTTAAGGCCCTCCTAGGGCCTGCCCTCCTTGGGCCTGCCCTCTCGTCCGGTCCCCCAATCCAGAGCCACGCAGCACGGTCGGCATGGGAGAATTCGGCAAGCTGCCCCTCACCCTCATTACCCGTACACCTGCCCCCCATGTTCGTACACAGCCATGGGACCTGAGAATCGGCTGAGATCAACAGATCTGCAGATCTGTTCCATCAGACTTGGCAGTTTCCTTATGCGGGAGACATTGAAGTTGCAGAACAAGATTCCAAAAAAAGGTTTTCCTTGTATACCTTATGTGAGCTTCATCATGGGAAAAATTACTTTACTCACATATATAACCCAGCTATATATAAAAATAGCCATTTGTGATGTACTTTGAATATTAGTAAATGTTATGCCCTTTCATACATATTATTAACAAGAATTATAAGTTAATTGGCTGTCTTCCATACTGGCTATTTATATTGCATCTTCCATATATACCAGGGGTGGAGAATCTGACCCATGGAGGGCCGCTGTGGGTGCAGGTTTTTGGGATGACCTTTCAATCAACCAATAAGAATGGGTCCCCAGGACTGGAGTTGTGAACCACTGCTTTATTATTGGCTGATTGAGAGCTCATGCCAAAAACCCGTACCGGCCCTCCATGGATCAGGTTCCCTACCCCCCCATGTAAACTGAGGCAGGTGGGCTTCACAGAATGATGTAGAAGTGTAGGAACTAAACCAAAGAATCGTCCTTTATAGAGATCCATTGCATATTCGTGTCAGTATATGTCTTTTTTTGCTGGGGTTGGATGGGAAATGCAGAGAGTATTTGTGTAATCTAATCAGGCTGTTTGAGATCTCACACTCCAGTGCTTGTCACAGTCAGGGCTGCGTCTGGGCTGCCAAAGATCAGTATTGTATATTCACAGGGATGAGATGGAAAGAAGGCCTTCCATTGGCTCTCCAGGCTCATACATGTACACTTCTGCATCAATCTCATCTTTAATACAAGAGCTGTGGGAAGCTGCACCAGCTTCAGACCATAAATAGTTGTTATTTATTTATTTATTTTTTTCTCTTATTATCTCCATCGGCGCAACCCCCCCCCCGCACCGGAGCCGTAAATAATTTGCCGGCGAATGTACAACAGGACCTCCTTCTGCAGCCCTCGGGAAGGCATAGGTTTGTAATAAATCCAGGAATTAATTTGCAGGAGTAGCTTGTAAGAATGATGCACCACAAATATGTTTTTTTTCTCCAGATGTTCCTCTGTTCTGATACTGGGATTGGAAGTCAAGGGAATCAAAGATTACTGTAAACTGTGAAAGCAGCAAAGGCTGGAAGAAGAGAGTGATTTACATGGCTGCAATGTTCAAGAAAGAGCAGTGCTACTCTTCAGTTATTTAAGACATTAACTTCAGTTTCATTATACTGTATGTGCTTTTACCCTGTGCAATAAAGAATACTAGTGGCCTTTTTGAAGGTAGGTGGTCAATTATTATGTAAGCATTTGGAATTAAAAACAAGCTTAGAAATGCTCAGTACAGAAGAATTGCATTTTTATTCAGGAGGAAGGCTGTGGCGGAATATGTTTGGTTTAGACAGGCTGACTCCTAATCCCAGTTACCTTCACATAAAAAAACAGCTTGGATTCGAACCAGGGGCTGTACAATTCGTATGTCGCTGTTTACTGCTCAGCCTTAAGCAGAACGCTCATATCCTGTGAGGCATGAAATTGTTATACAATGACGTGCAAATCGGTGCTTCACTGCGCACCGGCAGCTGCCCACTGTATAGCACCGACCCACCCCCGCCCCCGGTCCACTGCCCCCACTCTGCAAATGCTTTTTTAACTCAAGCTGTGCACCGTGGAGCATGAACCTCCAGTTTCAAGTCCAGGAATCCTAAGCATGTGCAAGACAAGAGCCAAATGAGGAAACAAGAAATTAGGTGAGAGGCACAATTAAGATTTTTTTTTGTCAGCAGTGACCTGATTTCTGATGTGTCACACAAGGCCAGATCTCTACATTTTGTCTTGGTGTTCAGGAAAAAAATGACAAAAAGCTTTCTCAGAATAGGTAGTGTTAAGCACATTCTGCGTTCTGTTACTGCTGTGTTGGTTGATCGGAAACATGCGATTTTGATGCGGATTTGCAATGTATAACCCCTTTAAATAGAAGTCAAAATTACAGCAGACTTGATGAAGGGCAAAGCTGGGAAACTCACACAGGTTACATTCAATACTTAGCAGCTATCTCTTATTACCATTTGTATCAATTAATTTGGATTGCTTCTGATAATAGTTTAATACACACAGTCAATTAGGCCTTGGCACTTAACCCTCCTTTTAAGTATAGCCTTCAACGTGATTCAATAACATTATGAAACCGAAGAGAGGGAGATAATATCAGGAGTGCATTTTGTTAACTACTTTAATGTCTGTCCATCCACCCATTTTCTGTACCTGCTTGCCCTGTTCAAGGTTGTGAGGGGGGTCTGGAGCCTATCCTGGAAGCTACTGGCAGGGAACCCATTGCATGGCATACTCACACACCATTCACTCACACACCATTCACTCACACACCGCTCACTCACACACCGCTCACTCACACACCGCTCACTCACAAACCGCTCACTCACACACCGCTCACTCACTATTTGATAACTGAAGACATGGAACCCTGGCAGAGATTTGAATCCAGGTTCCAGAGGTGTGAGGCATCATTGCAAAGCACTGCACCGCTAGGCCTCTCCGTGCTTTAATAATTGATACATAATTATCACACACACTTCACTTTTTATATGGACAGACACAGTATTAAAAGCCAGAATTATCTTTTGTGATTAACCGCACAGTTGCCGATGATTAGCTTACAGCTTACCTCCGATTCGGGCATTTACATTCAGTAAATTTTGGGAGAGCGCTGTTGAAAAATGCTGGATCGTCATCACCCTTCTCCGGCGATGCGCAGGTGTATTGACCGAGCATTTTCGGCACTCGTTCGTGGGAAATAGAGTGCTATTTTTAAATCCTGCCTGTGGATCACAGCCCTGTGCTGGATCTGGGCCAAAAGTGATTTGAGGACACCCAAAATTCCAGAACAGCCAGACATTTCAAAACAGCTGTACCCACGATCCCATTTTGCAGTCACCTTGACCCTGAGCGTAGCTCGAACATCCGTGGCCTACAAATCCCCCTTCAGTTTTATGGGACACCAGTCTCACTTCACATACGTTCAGTCCTGAAATCAGCTGGTTGCTAGTTCGCATCCCAACAGACACTGCATCCAGCAGCTGTCAAATCAGAGGAATCCAGGCACAACCTCTCCCACGACGTCATAAAGGTTGCAGTGCATGCTGGGAGTTACACCCACGCCACCTGAATCTGAAGCTGTTGGCGTCGAGCTTTATGATTATCCTGCTAGCCCGCCGGGCCCCAGGGCAATGCATGTAAAAAAAATAAATAAATAAAAATGCAGCATCGTAATGGTGCGGCAACAATGCCACGTAGAATGGGCTCCAGCATGCACCCCTTGTTTTATGGTCCTGACAGGCAGCTCCATTTAATCCAGCGAGAATCCCCCTCAGCCGGCAAGCAAAGACAGCTGCATAATGAAATCTCATGCGGGGAAAAGCCCATCAGCCTTCTCGGCCCAGGAGGAGCGAACAGGGGCTGTTGGTGCTATTTTAAGACCTGCCTGCTTGTCTGTGCCGCTCGCTTTCATTATTTTGCTCTCTTTCTTTTAGAATTTAATAGTGCCCAGTCGCTCA